GGCCCGGCCCTCCCTCCCTCCCTATTTTCCTGGACATGTCCGGCTTTTGGGGATTTCCCCCTGGACGGGGATTTGAGCCCCAAAAAGCCGGACATGTCCAGGAAAATCCGGACGTATGGTAACCCTATCTCATCCTAGCCCCACAGGGAGAAAGGTGTGCAGGGGAGTGTTTTGATTTGGAAAAAAAAATGTAATACACACACACGTGGCTCTGTGTCCATTAGTGACGGCATGTCAAAGAAACATACCTTGCCCTTGGAGCTGACGGTGGTGAGGTTTGGGATGATCCTTAGTTTCTGGGGGAATTCATTCCACAGTCTGGGACCAGCCCCCACGAAAGGTTTGGCGCCTGCACAGACAAGCCTTCCCTTTGGGCTAGAGAGTTCCACTGTTCCAAAGGAGGTCCATGGCTGAAGTTCTCAGCCATGGACCTCAGCCCTGGCTTTAGGCCCTTTCACATACTTTGAGTCCAGGCCATGGAGCTCCTTGAAGGACCAAGACCTTGAACCTGACTTGATAAATATGGGAACCCAGTGTAGGGAGTGGAGAGCAGGGTTGATGTGCTGGTGGTTACTGAGCCTGCGTTGCTGAGGAGACACACTGCAGCGTTCTGTACTAGTTGGAATGTCTCAAGGGCTGAAGGCTTGGTGACCAGTTGTATCACACTGCTGTCATCCAGACAAGAAGTGACAAAGGCAAGAAGAACTGAGGCCAGGTCTCCGTCCGCCAGAATGGGACGGAGGCTCTGAGCCAGAGATGGTAGAAAGCATTACAGACACATTCCTACACTAGGAAGTTTTTCTGAACGTATTGATTTGTCTGAGTAAGGATGCCTGCTAAATTAAAAGCTTATAAATAAATGGTGCCATTCAGTAGTGTTTACAAAGGGTCTACCACACCATATGAGACAGGTAGGTTTGAACACTACCTCAGACCAGAGGCAGTTTTCAACAGTAGGAATAGCAAAGGGTTTTGGAAACGGTCCTTCTTTGAAAACTAGACCAGGTTCTCTGACAATGAAACAGAGACACAAAAAGTGGCATTGATGGATAATGTCTTTGTCGTCAGCCTGCTCCTTTTCAAAGGTCAAGGCAAACCCCATAACTGCTGGAGTCGGTCCTTCCCATCAGTTCCCCCTTGGCCTAGGATGAAAAGGTCCAGATCCTCAAAGATTGTTAGCCTCCTAACTTCAACGGAAATCAAAGGGAGTTTGGTGCCTAAATACCTTTGAGGATCTGGGTGAAAATGCCCAGCTGTTTTCCAGAGGGGGTAACAGAAGGCCTGATTGTCCCCGAGGTTGATCCTGATGCAATTATTTCTACCCGAGCACAGTCGTACCCAGTTCAAATGATAGCGTTTTACTCAGATGTAGGTGACAAGGCGGCAGGCATACAGACTGCCTAGAGCAGGGGTCAGCAACCTTTCAGAAGTGGTGTGCCAAGTCTGCATTTATTCACTCTAATTTAAGGTTTCGCGTGCCACTCATACATTTTAACATTTTTAGAAGGTCTCTTTCTATAAGACTATAATATATAATTAAACTATTGTTGTATGTAAAGTAAATAAGGTTTTTTAAATGTTTAAGAAGCTTCATTTAAAATTAAATTAAAATGCAGAGCCCCCCAGACCGGTGGCCAGGTCCTGGGCAGTGTGAGTGCCACTGAAAATCAGCTCGCATGCCGCCTTCAGCACGCGTGCCATAGGTTGCCTACCCCTGGCCTAGAGGATTTAAGCAATTTGCAAAGGTTACATAGGAAGCCTATGGCAGAATTGGGGAAAGAACACTGAACTGGGAAATGATGGACTCACAGCTTAGCCACCTGGTCACAGTGCCTCTGATGCAAACAGCTTAACGCCTCTGTACTTAGGCTACCTGTAAAAATAGGGCTACTTCCACCCACCTTTTTGACCTCTACAAGGGAGTAAAAGCACTGTGTATATGCAATGTATTATTATTAGCCACATTTTCCAGATATAGGATAATTTAAAATACCCCAAAGATTAAGTAGCCTGTACACCAGGCCTGGTATCGCAGTGGGTAAGGCATTGGCTGTGGAAACTTGAGCACATTGATGGGTGTGCTGTCACACTGATTAGCCGATTTGTTAGGAGTTTGGGGGAATATTGAAGGTGCTGCTCATCCTGCAAGGCTAGATTAGCTCTGTAATGGTGTCAGGTGTAAAATGAAGGATATAGTGCTCCACAGGAGCCATTTTCTCCTTGTCCGGTGACTGCCACTCCTTAACCTAGGGTGACGCTTCCAGCTGATTTATTTAACATTTAGTTAAGGTGGTTGTGATGATCAGGGCAGCTCCAGGCACCAGCTCAGCAAGCAGATGCTTGGGGTGGCCAACGGAGAGGGGCGGGCCGTCCGGCTTTTCGGCGGCGGGTCCCTCACTCCCTCTCAGAGCGAAGGACCTGCCGCCGAATTGCCGCCGAAGAATGAAGCAACGGCGGTAGAGCTGCCACCGAAGTGCCGCAGATCACAATGGTGGCTTTTTTTTTTTTTTCATGCTTGGGGCAGCAAAAACCTTGGAGCCGGCCCTGGTGATGATATGGGTTTTTTAACTGCCCGCAGTACAAGTGTGTGTTTCTCACAGGGCAGATTGATGATGTCTTTATTGAGATGTTTCCTGACTTTGAAGCAGGTGGGTTTCGTATGCGCAGGAAGAGCTCAGAGCACTGTTGTCACTGATTTTTTTGATGGAATTCTGTGAAGCTCAGAAGTGTTGGTTATCATAGGGTTAGCTTGCCCCAGAGTAACCAGGCCACCTCCTCACTGTGACCAAACCAGCGGCTCTCTCCAGCAATCAGCACAGCCCCATCCTCTGGGGTGTATGATGCAACAGGGCC